CTTTTGTTGTGACTAATAAACTTGCTACTGGCTAATGTACTGCTAGCTGCTGAATTCCTAAAGTGTACCTGGGCAGTGTGTGTAGATTTAAAAAATAAGAAAAAACATGCAGTAGCTTTTTTGAACCTGATGCTCAGTAGTCTTAAGTAGTTCTGAGAACACTTTAAATGGAGTTTACTTTGTCAGCATTCAATCAGTTCTCTTCCCCTGAAAAAATAAGGCTTTGACCTTGCTTAGCCTTTGATTCCCTATCTCTTCCTCACTGCAATTGAGGTTTTCTATAGTATTAAAGCTGACTGAGAGTCGCAATGACTGCTACCTATTATTACTATTTTTTCCAAGAGCAAGGTTCCAACTCCATCCAACGTTTCTATGAGACTGTGTGGCATGACACTTAAAACACAGCCACGAGCCTTAACACTATTAGGAAGATTTTTCTTGAAGTCTTGAGGATGAGTAATAAGTCCTTGGCAGTGCCAGCATGGCTTACTGTTTGTGTCATCTTGTAAGAAACTTTAACTCATCTTAACTCAGTTAAACACCTGGTCCAAAGTATGTACAACAGAACTGACCAGGCTTTCAAACTGCATTGTCTGTCATGAATAAAATGATCTGTGCCTTTGAAGTTGATTTTAACTCCAAACTATAGCAACACCTACAAGCTCATCACTTCAGTGTCGTAAGAACTGATGATTTGTCCTTCAAACAAATTGGCAATTATATGAACTCTGTACATAGGAAATTCTTTTTTGGGTGGTAAACTCATTGATTGTATGTGAATCTTCACATCTTTGCAGTTTCCCAAGCTCTTGCTCTGCCTTCTATATTGTTGAAAGCGTTGTGCTCTCGGTATCTGAAGGCATACTTGCTCTTGCTTTAAGATATGTAATTGATTTCTATGGGGGTTTTCAGAGGAACATCTTACCCAAATATTTTTTGTATGCAAATACATTTACAAAATGTACTAAGACTTAAGTGCTCATTTTGTAAAAACTTCAATGTAACTGACTTTATTTTAATCCAGGACAAGACTGTAACTAGCATTAAAGAAAAATGGCAGAGGAGAGCTCTAACAAAGTAGCTGAAAGCAGTCAGGTAAAGGAATCTGAGGAAACTGTATTGGAAGTGGGAAGAAAGCGTTCATTAGGAAATGAACCTACTGTGGAAGAAGAGCCACCTACAAAGAAAGGTACAATTTCTACCGTCACAGGACAAGGTGTCTTTCAAAAAAACTTGATTCCTATTCCAGAGCAGAAGCCAAAAGTTGCAAAGCGTAAACTTTGTGGTATGAGGAGAAAATCTGTGCTAAAATGTAAATGGAAGTAACTGTTATGTCAATGCTTGTTTGCAGAAGGTCTTATACTGTTCACTCTTAAAAGCTTAAAATACAAGTTAGTTTTTTAGACTGCTTCCTCTGTTGCTTTTTCCTCATCTGCTGATAAACTCCCAGACTCAGTAGTAATTCTAATCTTCAGGATTGTTCTCATATTAACCTTACTTCCACTTCTGCTCTTCTTCCGGGAGAGTAACATCACCTGCTCAAGTGCTTCAGAATTTCTCAGGACAAGCATCAAAGCTGTCAATGACTTATTAATTGCTCAGTCATACAATATGTGCTGTGAGACAATGTTTAATTCTGTGTGTGTGCTGTGAACACACCAGCACTGGTCAAGACGATAGTTCTGGCAAAGAAGAAAAGATTTCCATCTGAATAGGAGTAACTATTTAAGTCCATAGCTGGCCTGTTGCACAGCTCTTATGTTTGCACTTTCAGTTATCTTGCTTTCTTTACTTTATTTTCAAGTTTGCCAGGGTACCACTTCTTATTTCTATCAGCGTCATTAAAGTCTGTTTAATCATCAAGATAGAGCTATGTGGGCCTGATTTGTGCAGGCAGAGCTTACAGGTACCATTTCACATTTAACTTCTGGACACAGCTGGGCTTCAGTTTCCTAGAACTATGGAAGCCATATGCAAAAAGGGAATCAAACATCCCTTTGACACTTCCCTTCGACCCTTTCTTTCTTGCCTCTTTCTTTCTTGCCTTCCTCTTGCAAAGTAAGTTTGAGGAAGGAAATCTAGGCCTTGTTTGGATGAGGATGCTGCCCTAGGAAGTAGGGGAAGCAAGTAATTCTCAACAGGTTCTAGGAGTGATTATACAAACTAACAGCCAACAGGTTCATAAAGTGTTAAGCAGAGGTGTGTTTAGTATTGGAACAACATTCACAACTGTTTTGTGCAAGGAAAGGTCTGGAGGAAGAGACTAGGTTTGCCAACAGTAGCCAAGGGAGGTAAAATACTAGTGGGCAAATGGTATGTGTGACCCAGTAGAGCATTTCTGCTGCTTTTACAACTTAATTGAACACTTGTCAAATATCTGAAGTCTCACTGAAAGAAAGTTCTGTCTCTGTCAGAAGATGGCTTGGTACACCAAGGTACACCAAACATCTCTGTCTCTACCATCTTTGTTTGGAGTGAATACTGGATCCTAATGGTACCACTTGAAGGTACCATGTACATCAGTGTTACAGGAGGAGGTGGGGGCAGTTGATGAAGCTGGTGTAGACTCTTTAATACACTAGATAGTAGTAGATTTGTTATAACAACTAAAACGCTCTCAAAACAACAACAAAAAATAGAAATTTATTTTGAGAACTGACAGTTCCAGCATTGAGATTTTTCTGTTGAGAAATACAGGCTATTCAGTCATTTTAGGTGTTCCTCTTATTTTTAGGTGTTTAAGTGTCTGACTTCAAAACTGAGCTGTGAGACGTTCCATAATGGTTAAAAATACATGTTAAAAAAATTTACCATTCTTGTTAAGTATACTTGGCACAATAGAAAAAAGAGCACAAATATATTGTGTTGGCTGTTTCATAGGATTTTGCCATACTAGTGGCATGAGCTAAATTTGTTTTAAGAGATGATGTGTTATCTTGGCTTGAAGTTTTTGTACATTTCTTTGGCCTTTAGGTCTTGCCTTCCATGTTTTGGGACGGTGCTTTTAGTACTTCCTGAATTAGAAGATTCTGGACTGAATGGCACGCTATCTTCTTGCAGTAATATTTATCTTGCTTTATAAGCATAATTATGGTTTTCAGCACAAAGCATTGCAATTGCTTCTAATTCCTCTTGTGAATGGCTATCTTCTTCTTACTGTAGGTGTTGGGCTATAAGCTCTTCAATTTCTCTCTTGATGCCTGAGATAACATAATCTTTTTTCAAACTCTGTACAAGGGCAGAACTATCCAAGGGATCTTTATTTAGCCTGGTGTTAGAAATAAAAAGACAGAAATAACATTATTACTCATCTGAAAGAAACAACATTCACAGGTTAAGCTAAGCTCTGACTGTTGGTTTCTATCAATAAATAGTATCTCAGATCTATCAAGATCAATAACAAACTATACGTTTACTTTCAGATTTCAGCTTTTCCTAAGGTGCTAAAGCAACAAACTACTCAAATTCAGTTCTCATGAATATACAGCATAAAACTATTATAAATCCCCAATTTATTCTGTTACCCTGCATGTTTCTGTTTTCCCCTTAATTTCAAGGTAGTAAGATTATCTTGTAGTAGTAGTTTAGTAAATGATATTGATAACATGCAGATGGGTTATGTTAAAGAAGATCAGCGTTCATAGAAGGTAGTTTTAACTCAGACTCAGTCTCAAAGGGCTATGAGTTATCTCACTATTTACTTACAGTTCTATGGACTGTGTTCTCTCGTTTTCATATTTCTCCTTTTCCCAAAGAGAGAGTTTCATCTTCTCCAAGCTGTTTGTCAACTGCACAACTTCTTCGTTCAAATTTGCTTCTTGACTATATAACTCTTTGATTTTTTGGTCTGAATTAGCACATTTTTCTTGCAGAGCTACTGTATTAGCTTCTAAATTTAAAATAATAGATTCCTTTTGTTTAAGTATTTCTTCTAACTTTGTCATGCTGTCTTCTTTTTTTTGAAAAGCTTCTAAGAGGCATTCAAGTTCTCTTATTTTTACCTTGTAACTTGTAACTTCCTCCTCAAATTGTGTAATTACTCTATGATCTTCTGCAGCCCGTTTTTCAAAATCTTGAGTTTTCTTTTGGATTTGCTCTTTTAACTGATCCATAAGAGCCTTTTCCTTTATGGACTGACTATCTTGTTTTGTCATCTCACTTAGTTTTACTTTTAGTTGATTATTACAGTTTTCACTGTCCTCGAGTCCCTTCTTTAAGTTTTCAACTTCTTGAACTAGTTCTTTGATCTGCTGACTTTTCTGCGAGGAAGCCTTAATAATACTTTTGCATTCTTCCCAAATGCTTTCAACACTGTAGTGAAAGGAGCTCTCCCATCTTGGATCTGCTATAGAAGTCGTTTGGGACTGCATATACATAGAATTAATTTGAGATGTCTCCGATTCCTCTTTTTCATAATCTAAGGAATCCTTTAGATCAACTAAATCCATAGCATGAGACTCTAAGTGAGATTTACATAGCTTATCTACTTTGGACTGCATTGTTTTTATTTGTGACACTTTATCAGTTATATTTTGTTTGGCATCTTCTACTTCCTTTTTTAGTTGAAGAATCTTTTCTTCTTTCTCCTTATTTATAGTCTTCTGTTTATCCAATTCAGAAACAATTTGCTGATAGTCAGTTCGATACTGCTGAAGCTCTTCACTCAAGCCAGTTGCCCTTTCTTCAGAGTGGGAGAGCTGAAGTTGCAAGTTTGTTACCTGCTCACTGAACTCTTCTTTTTCATTTTCTTCTCTTCTGCATTGTTGTTCAAGTGCAGCTATCTGACTCTCCAAGGTTTCAACTCTTTCCTTCAGTGCAAGCGTTTCCATATGTTTGTCATAACTATTTTGGTTCACGTGCTCAGTTCTTTCTCGCTCTATCGAGAGATCTTCCCAACTGTCTTTCACAACTCCTAAAAATGAATACAGCTCAGGTTGATTAAAATCATTAAGTTATTAGCAATACCAAGTAGCAATTATGATGTGAAAAATGGTCACAATATGGAAAACATACCCTCACGTCAGATGGCCTTTTGAAGTCTCAAAGTAATTAAAGCCCTCTGAATAGCTTAGCATGAAATAGGTGCCTTGGACTTCTAAGTACTTTGCACCAAAAGGCCCTCAGCCTGAAAAAATTCTCTGCCTTAGCTCTGTTCAAACCTTCTACTCTAACACTAGTAGAGAACCTACCTAGTTTATAAAAATGTTCCAATATTATGAGCTAGATAATTTAGTTCTATCTAGTTTCCACATTCACTGGTTCAACAATCCCTTCAATACAGCTAATCACCCAAACTATGTTTAGAAGAGCAAACGCATGATACGCTTTTTGAGAAGTTTCATTCATACTCAACGTCCCCTTACTTTAAAAAGGAAGCTGAAATCCCACACAAGTTTATCACTGTGTTCCTATCCTTCCCCTCCTCTTTTTTCAATTGGACTCTAAAAAAAATGTAAGAATCACCACTTCTGCCTACACCTACAGCATCGCATGCAAAGTTCTCTCACAAAGAGATACAAATTTCCAAACTCAAATTGCATAAATATTTTATTAGCTTGAGACTGCTTTTTCCATAAGTAATGAGCAATTAACTAAAAATCACATGCATTTTCTCTCTATCAAAAGGGACTCCAGCTGCATTTCATGAGTGCTTGAGAATCCAGCCGCCTGTTCAGTAACCTGCATGCCATGTTTTAGTACAAAAAAGCCTGACCATCTCTAAGGTTGAGGTTATGACAATTATGTATTCTAGGGAGATACTGTTTCTTGCAAGTACTGCACCTACCACAGGGTGGAATTGGGTGGCCATATCACATAGCATCACATGCACTGCATGGAAGCAGCCTCTGAACTGATCCAACAACTCCTACAGACAGCCCGCAACCAATTTAATAAAAACAGTCATCGAATTCTACCAAACACTTTCTTCCTGCTGATCTCTTCTAATTAGACCTACCAAAAGCTCCTGCTAGATCAAACACAATGATAGCAGTACTTTAGCTTGTAAAGCCATGCTTTTAAGTTCTAGAAGACTAAAAGTTTTGGGTTAGGAGATAGTTTTCCTCTGAAAGGCCAATTGTGTAGGCAGGCCCAAGAAAATGTATCAAACTAAACACTACATATTCTTCATACTAGACAGTTTTACATACTTCATTGAAGGGGAAAGGAGCTGAGGTACTAGAAGGTACTT